ACCTTGCAAACAGCATTAATATTCTTGTAGAGAATATTTTTTAACGTTTTTTAGCGCAAACCGCAACACTTACACTCAAACCGTTCGCGAGATATCGATTTTTAAAGTTTTAAAAAAATTGCAACTTTGCCCCCCTGCCCCCTCCTCCCTAATTATCCTAGGGGGCTGAAATTTTGCCCAAGCGTCGGGGACACTTAGTACAACATCTGAGCAAAGTTTGGGCCGAATCCAGGGGGGGGGGCTAAAATCGGCGTTTTTGGAACAACCTCTTTTCGGAAAGAACGTAAAAAAATACATAAAATTTGATATGTAACTTTTCCCTGCGTTGCCAAATTATCGAGAAAAATCGTCCTCAAGCGCCAAAAATGCCGAAAATTGGATTAATCGTCTCATCGAAGGTTCAAGAGGGTGAATTATCACTTACATGTGGATCGTGGTACACTTTCCCCACGCAGTTTCTGTTTTTTGGTATATTTGCCCTATAGCAAGCATCTTGAGAACCAATGATTATCTCGAGGTTACAGGAATAAAGTAGGAGTAGGAATAAAGAGGTGTACTGGAGTGAAGGATAAGGTAAAAGCACCTTGAGGGTCCGTTTAATCACGTTCATCTGAGCCATTACATGTTCCGTGAGACGAATTGCATTTTCAAATTTTCGATACGTTATTTGTAGGGAAAGAAAACTTAAAATTCACTTCCTGGAACCTTCGACGTGACGATTAATCCAATTTTTGGCATTTTTGGCGCTTCAGGACGATTTTTCTCGATAATTTGGCAACGCAGGGAAAAGTTACACATCAAATTTTATGTATTTTTTTACGTTCTTTCCGAAAATTTACACGGTTTTTAGATTAAATTGAGTTTCACACGCGTAAACTTGAAAACCCCCTAAATATTGGTGAAAATTGGCAACAATAGACCGTTAGGCCTTTTAAAGTTCACAGGAAGCCATTTTTATGGCCAGTTATGAAAATTACGTAGAAAAATACATAAAGTTCACACCCATAGAGGGTGACTAAGGTCGAAAAATATTCAAAAGAGCTACCTTCAAGTAAAAAAACGCCGCTAAAATCGACATCCCGGTCAATTTTCACATCGTGGGAATCCGGGTACAACTATAATTTTTTGATATGTTGTATATATAGGTAAGAGCTGTTACGTACGTCAATATAAAAGTTGTACCCCACTTTCTTGAACCTTAAGCGTGGCAATTTATCGAATTTTGGCCATTTTTGGCTCTTTGGAGCGATTTTTCTCGAAAATTTGGCAACGTAGGAAAAATTTTCACAAAACATTTTTTGTTCATTTTTTGAGTTCTTTTCAAAGACTTACACGGTTCTTAGTTTGAATTGATTTCTACGTGTGTAAAATTGAAAAAACCCCTAAAAATGGGCCAAAAATGGCAACAATGGGCCAAAAGGCCCCTTAAAATTTATCGGAAGCCTTTAAAAGGGCCAGAAATAGAAAGTACCCCAAAAAATACATGGGAATCATCTGCTGGAAGAGTGATAACAGGCGAAAAAGTCAACAAAAATAACTATTTTTCGATGCCAAGAATCTGGGTTTGAGGCGTTGTTGCACCTTTGCATGGACTCCGTTCGGTAAAATATTTGGCATAAAGTCTACCTAAGACTAGTACTTTGAAAATATGAAACATTCAGCAAAACCCAGGTGGGGCCGGAAAAGGCCCAAAACGACTCTCCTCCTTTGGATCAACACGGGTCGTAAGTGTCACATCAATAAAAAGGTATTGACCTCTCCTCCCAGGAAATCGAATATTTTTAACGCTTACAGTGTGTCTCATTGAAATTTTCCTCAAAATGTCCTGTGACTCCAAAAAAATGAGGGTCAGGGAAAAGGTGCACTGATGAAATAGTCCTTATTTTTGGTCTTAAAAGAAATCCGAAGTCAAAACATACCCTTCCCATTAGAAATATGCGAGAAACAGGGGGCACTCCTTTAGAGCCCCCCCCCCCATGGAATTTTGGGGAGCTGAAAATATTTTCATTGAATTCTTTGGATTCTTTGGGTCGATTTACCGCTGAATGTCATCGTCCTGAAGCTCAATTTCGGCCGTTTCCGAGAAAAAGATAGTGGACGGGTGCTCTGGAACACCCGGTATTATTGAATTATCTCTACCTAACTCAAGCACGCTCCGTGCATATAATGAATCTCTTCAACTACTGCGACCAGTAAAAACAACTCGACGTTATAATGTTGCAATTGGCGACCCGCACGGCCGCACAAAAACGTCGAAGTTAAATGCCACTTGATTTTGCAACTTTGCGATCCGTCTTATCTCCTTGTCTGCCTGAATGCTTCAGCTCAAGACGCTTGCTACATACAATAAGGCTTATTTGAAGAACAATTTAGCAAGGTCTTAAGTGACCAAAAGCGTAAAAAATAACTTGGAAGCTTGTCGGTTGTACATCAATTCGAGGTACAAAATTATTGGGGGAAATCTGCACTGAGGATTAAGAGGATTTTGCATTAACATTGCAAAATAATTCCAATGATGACGATTATTTAAATGTTTTTCTTGACTACATCTGCTTTCAATCGGTAGGTACGTGTTAAACCAGCTGTTTTTCTCGCATAAGCCTTAATCGACAAGGGTGGTCTGAAATCGCATAAGCCTTAATCGACAAGGGTGGTCTGAAATCGTCAGATTTTTCAATTAATTTTGAAAAACCACTGCACCTGTTATATTTGGTCAAGTGGGGTTCATTTAAAAATGGACCCATGTCAAGATATCTCTAAAGCTTCAAAACACGCCCACTTACAATTATTAAAAACAATAAACTCAAATAATAATATAATAAATATATAACAATAAATAATAAACAATAACAAATAAACAATAAACTCGTTCATAAATCACTGATGATGGCTAATCAGAGGCCATAAGGCGGTCAAAATCTTGTAAACATCGAAAACCAACTCAAAGGGCGTAAGAGACAAAGAAAGCTAGCTATGTATACCGAATACCAGCTACCTACTCAGAAATTAGGATAATTGCCTCTTTCATTTTGGTGGAATTTTTGGATGGACGGGTTTGTTTTGTTTATTATTACTTGGAAGCGTAAACACGGCACAGAGCGATAGCATTGCAACAAGTGGCCTTTGGCTGAGAATTCTTGAAAAATCTGTGGAATTATTATTCGAGGGGCTTAGAGGACAAGGCGCATAAGAGCAGTTTTTGCTACTTCGAGAAAACGTGTTCAAAGTTTCGAAATTACATTGGATCCTTATGGCGGAGAGAAAGTTCAAACTGACTTTTTGATGCTTAAACATCGAAATTTTGGAAGCGAATTTTTCGCAGAAAATCCAATCAGACTAGTTTTACTTGGAATCATTAACGCCTCGATATTTTCAAAAATTACATTTATACGCCTGAGCCTTGTCCTCCAAGTCCCCCATTTATTTGCCGTGAAATGGGCCCTATGCTCCTTCATTTATTTGCTTCCAGCAGCTCCTCTGAAACATTATTTTCCTTCTATCTGAAGATGAGCGAGAAATCATCCCTTTTGGAAATTTGGAGGTTATTCACGTCACGCAATGTCATTTACATCGTCTTGCATCGGCTCCATCGACCTCCGGCGCATGATAAATCTGATCGATCCGATTGATCAACTACTTATACGTTATAGCCATGGAATGGTTTGAACTAAGATTTCGATGTAACATCGAAAGAAGCAGTCACTAAATCAGTCTATAGCGGCAAGGAGAGCGGCTGAGCGTGCGGACTTCGTACACCGAGCCACCGGAAACACCGAAGTTAACTAATGGGGGAAACAGCAAAACTATAACAATCGAACAGTAACGATCGGAAATAGGGAAGTGGGGAAGTCAATAATAAATGAAACAGCCGAGTCAGAATAAAAGGCGAGGAACGGCAACACCGTTGAAAAATCGGCGTCTTCCCAAGGAAACATATCCATGATGAACTCGTAGGCAGATCGGAAAAGAACACGTCGGCTCTAGTATAAAGAACTCGGAAAAAAAGAAAATTTAAATAAGAGGTACCTGGAACACCTGTTTGCATTACAGTAAATTACCAAAGATTGTTTGCAGCTACCCACTTTTCCCCCAAAAATTGTGAGTAATTCCTCAAGTAAATAAGGGCCGGGCTGACCAGCGAGGCGCCCTCGAGGGACCAAGGCAACTGGCAGGAACCCTGCCGTCGTGCACCCCGAAGTTAGACCGTGCTCCTAAACTTCGTACTGTTGACACATTGTGTATCCTCTGTATTCCCGCAAGGCTCAGCGGCCGTCTGATAGCCAACGGTAGGTCTTATCAAAGACTGTGGAGACGCTGCAGAGCACGGATTTTCGGAGCACGGCCATGCCTCCATCGATTTGGACTGTGTTGTTGCAATCTCCACAGATAGGTAGCGCTTAATTCCTTAAATAATCGAAACCTTTATTTTTCATTCTCCAATTCTCGAGTAAGCCGAAACTGGACCCTTACAATGCATTTCATTTTGAAAAAAAACTCTCGGACAGCTCGCCGAATCGATGGACAGCACTGTCCGGCATACGATAGATAGACTTTAGGCCTTTCAAGATGGGAAACGAAACTGAAAAATTTCAAAATTTTAACATTTGGGGCAAAAATCCATGAAAGTGTGGTTTAACGTAAGGAGAGCCTCAATANGGGGGGGGGGGGGGGGTATTGCTCATTTCACAAGTAGTATGACTGACTCTAACATGAGTGATGCTAAACCTGATTTTTGACTCAGTGACAAAAGAGTGTTACCATACTTTGATGAATGTGATTAGAGTTGTTACAGTAGGCCCCACCAGACATCTAAAGAGTGTTACCATACTTTGATGAATGTGATTAGAGTTGTTACAGTATTCGCTACCATGGAGCCTGTTGGCGGTTACCATACTCATATCGATGTACCGTAAACCATACTTTTTTAATGAACCACAGAGACGCGAGGGACGTACAAAAACCGTGTGGTAAAGTGAAGATACAATTGTAAGTGTACTTACATTGAATTCGCTACGTAAAAGGTATCCGTTTAAAGGAACAAACACAGAGTAAACGAACACGGCATCCGGAGGTGGAAAACAAACAAAAAACGGGAGGCGGATCGAGCGGAACGATTGAGACTTTTCACGTACGTAATCTTCGGTGCGGCCGATGGACCGAGTTTATATACGACGGGAGACGTCGGTCGGAGGGGGGCTACCGAGCTCCAGTTCGGGGGGGGTCACAAATAGGGAAGGGGGCTTCGGAGTCAGGTTGGGGGTACGAGGGATTGCGGGCGGGAAGTGGAAGGATGAAGGAACGGCCTCAGCACGACCTTGAGGATGCGCACTTTCTCTGCTGAGACCAATGTCACGCGCTCACGCTGAGGCGCCCTCTTATTGTTAGTCGGATAGGAGCACTGGAGCAGTGACCAGCTGACCGGCCGACCACCGATCTTCCCTGCCGTCCCGCATCGCTGAAATCTCCTCCGTGCATGCCGTAGCATCCGTAACTCCACACTCTCCCCCCCCCCTTTACTTCCTCTATATCTAGATGGGTCTGTTACACGCTAGAGATACGGCCGTGTGGATACTATTTGACGTTACATGTCTTGAGGATGGCGATAGTTATATCGAAAAGTCTGCAATCCACTCCTTAGCAGGCCCGCCACAAGGGTGGGGATACTGGGTCCCTGGTACCGGGGCCCGAACCCCGGAGGGGCCCGTGCCGCCTGTGGCTCATCACTTAAAATTCTCATGTAACCCTTCTCTCGTAAGGAAAAGTGAAAATTCGCCCTAAAAATTTAGCAAAAGGTGAACGAGTTTTCAAAAACATGCTTGGGCACTGTAAAATTCCTCTTACTTTTTTGAAGATTTCTATCTATTTTCAAGATTTTAAGCGTACAATGATATTTTCAATTACTGCGTTTCATTTTCTTCCGTCGTCTGATGCTAAGAGTCTCTATTCTGGACATTAAGTCGACTGATTTTTCTGGCGGTACCGGGGGGGGGGGGGGGGTTGTTGGTGGCAGTCATGGGGCCCGGACCTTAAAACTAGTACCAGGGCCCGAGATGGGATGTGGCGGGCCTGCTCCTTAGTGCGCAATTTGCCTGGATTGAAAAACGCTTTCTCAACTTTCCCGCGCCTAAGGGCAGTTCAGATGATAAATTGAACACCCTAAAGGTCATTCATCAAGGTTTCTGGCGTGGTCGAACTGGTGTGCTATGTACTGCAACGTTCATGTCAGAGGTCATGGCAGATTTTGAATTTTCAACCAAAAAAAGGAGTTTTTGATTTCAGTATCGATTGCGAGGTATTTTTCCAAACAAGGTTCTTCTTTCATTTCTGTCATTTTAAGAGTTAACCGCCGACGTCTGATTGGAGAGAAACGCAAGCTGATAAATTCCGCATGTGCCGTTGGTTGTGTACCTCAGAGCTCACAATTCGGCGCAAGGCTGGCCAGGAACAAGGATAACGTCGAGTGAGTCCGGCTCCGGGCAAGGGAAAAACGCACATCGGTCAACAGAAGCAGAACTTGTTAATCGCATACGCGATGAGTGACCGCCACAGCCGCCGTCGCGTCGTGTCGCATCTTTATTTTTTATGATATACCTAAATGCCACTCGAGAGCGAAAGCGAGCGGGAGCTGAAGCTGCATTCACAAGTTCATTCACCTTGACATGTCCCCCATGCATATTCAGCTTTTATTGCATCACTCCCAACGAATCTCAGGCTCATGCACGGCTCCCATTTTGCGTGCTAATAATCACTTCGTCCTTACAGCTTAATCATAACATGAGCATAGGCGTAGCTAGGGGGGGTTCTACCCCCCCGAAATCTCGTGCCCCCCCCCCCAGAAAAACATAGACACAAACTCGGACAACATGCATTCTTCTTTAGGCTACATTCATACGTGACTGTTGTTTTTTTCCAGTGAACAAAGTCTAAAGATAAAAAACCAACTTGATTATGAAGTCTGTGCTATTACTTTCTGACCCAAATTATCCCTCTCAGTAGTCTACATAAATGAAATGTAATGAAAAACATGTTTATTTCACACTCTAAAGACGTTTAATTCACAAACAAATCCGGTGGCGGGGGGAGGGCGCTACCTCTTAATCTTGGGATCCTCCATTCCTNCTTCACCACAGAGGTGGTCCCATGCCCCCCCCCCCTCCAGAGAAATTTCCTAGCTACGCCCCTGAACATGAGGCATAACCACCAATATATGAAATACCAATATATGGTATCAATAGATGAAGAATTCGAAAGTAGAATAGAAAACAAGTGTTAAGTTTTAAAACGGGTCCGTTTCTAGTAGAGATACGGCGGCGGCGTGAATAGACTTAATGAAAGGAACCTGCCACAAAAATCACGATGGTCTTAATCAAAATGTCTGAAATATACGCCTCAGTGCGCAATTTGCATGGTTTGGAATACCCTTTTTCAAATCTTCCCCGTCTGGGAGCACTTTCTTAGTCACCGGAAACGAGAAAACTTTAACTTCAGGCAGCAGGCCCCATCAATGGTCGCTGGTACCTAAATAGGTACCGGAAGTTGCCGATTCGTTTTTATTGTTCATTTGTCTTGTTTACAAGCGGGAAGTGATCTTGATAGTGGTCCATGGCCACGCACCTTATCCACTGATAAACGGCTTACAGACCTACACCCTAGGGCTAAGCTCGGAAGTACTGTTGGTCAAATGGCACTGACTACAGACAATATTGCTGAGCCGAGCCCTCAATAGCTGTTGAGTGGGTCACTGAGGGTATTTTGGGGTCCATTTCTACAGGCTGTAGAGTTCCCCACTTTAGCGCGCTCTACCAACTATTCTATGAGGTGCTTACAATTTGCGGCTGATTTCAGTGCAGTGCTGCAGTGATGATAATTCAGTGAAGATGGCGAGCGTAGAATATCCAGAACCTCTCATAGAGGTGAAAATTTTCATGAAATTCATTCGCGTGAAGTTTCATGAAATTTTTAAGGATGTGTTCAGCAGGTCAATAAACGACTAAAAACCGATATTCTCGATTACGAAATTCACCCCAGGCCTAAAACAGTTACGCGTTAAAAATGTTTTCGTTTGATTTTGAGATTAGGTTGAGGCTTTACTCTCAAAACTCCCCTTTGTGCCCCTCCCCCCTCAGTGTATAGCACCTCAGTAGGGTAGCATAATACTGCCAAATCAACAGGATGTTACAACGCTGCCTGTTACATTGGTGTCAGTCAGGGTTACCTTACTCTAAACTTGGGTGCCGTTTGATGGTAGAATTTTCATATTCATTGCCGAATTGGTTTAAAACCAGTTCTATTCGGGCTGAATGCGTGAGCGAATGTAAAAGATCAATGTAAACGATCATCATTACTAACTGGGCTCAAGAAAATTGTAGACCGTTTTTTGACCATCAGATTTTGGCCAGCAACCCCCTCCCCCTCATTCCACCCTGAAGTATCAAAAGAGCAAGCAATGCCATCAGAAACTTTAAAAACCCTTGGAGCATGAATTTGTAATGAAAATTGCATTGGCCGCTTTACTGTGCAATGTGGTTCCTTAGAACCTCTATATACGAGGTCTGTTAGATTAGAAACCGGATTTTGGTCATAACTAGCCCACAATGCGTCCAAATTACGTTTTCTTGAGCTTTTCTGATAGCTGAAAATATATTTAAGAACGCTACGTTCACAAATTTGAAAAATCCTAATTAGCTTCGTTGGTATGGGGCTTGAAGTAAGGCAACCCCAAGGGTGTTTTGCGATTTTTATGTTTGACCGAACTTTTCTCTCTTTTTCGGTCTTGCACTACATTTTTCTACCCACAAGGACGATTGGAGTTTCGTCTCCATATCGTAGCCGTACACTAAAGTATTGTCACCGAAAATTATCAAATCCAAAAATGTAGGATCATTGTTAGAACGTTTAAGCAGCTAAAGGGAAATTGACATTTTGTTGGATTTTCGTTCAATGGAAAACAATCAAGGGGCGAGTGTACCTGAAACTCGATGTGTGTATATGTCGCAGGCAATTAGTCAAATCAGGCATTTAGTCAAATGCCTAGGCAAATAGTCAAATTTTACCGAAAACCCACTTTGGCTATTCGCCTAGGCAGTTGATAAAGTGCCTAGGCATTTGATGAAGAGCCTAGGCATTTGACTAAATGCCGTATGGCCTTTAGGCAAATAGTGAAACTCGTTAAAAATCAGGCAAATAGTCAAATTGCTTGGCTTACAGGAACACTTCATAACACCTTGGCCGCCAAACATAGAGCCGGCTGCAACCGCCTCACGGATCGATATGAATTTTTCTCGCGGAATTTGTGAAAAGTCGAAATCAACACAGTCGATTCGTCGAAGGTCAGGTCTGGCGCACCAATTTTTTTATGATTCCACCAATAGTTCCGACTTGGTAAACTCCGTTACGAATATCTGTTACGAAACCTTGTACATTCTGATGATCAAGCGGCCCTCTATCGACTTTTGGGACGGCTAAAATAACTTTGTCTTCTATTTTTAAATCATCAAACAGTTTTTTACTTGATTCTGCCATGCCAGCTGCTGCATCTTTTTGCCTTTCATGAGTTTCAGAACGTGTCTGACGAATTACTATTTCATTCTGGCATAAGTTACAAAGGAAGGTAAGGGATGTTTGCCCGTCTTCGAGGGTAGTTTGCCCACATTGTGCATGGCAGACATTAGGACATGTCGATCACTGTTCAGTTTTACCACCTGTCTGACAGTTACAGCAAGGGACATCATTTATGTCATCTTCCAATCTAGCAGCTTTTTCTACAGGTGCATCCGATGGTTCCGGCTCATTTGAATCCCTAGAGCGTTTTCTTTCTTCATTCCCTTTGTTCTGCAAGTTTTCAAAATCTTCTTCAGTCGTTAATTTAGCAAGAATGGAGGATGGTATATTGGTGCTTCCAAGACCCATTTTCGGTTCCGAAACCAAACAGAGCCGTGTACGGTGATCGGTTCAAAATGCGATGGAAGCACCTCTAGCCCCGGTCCGTTCATTTGACAATGTGCCTGATCACCTCTCGGCATTTTTTCAAATGCTCAGGCATTTAATAAAATGCCTAGGCATTTAATCAAGCGCCTAGGCATTTAGTCAAATGCCTAGGCAAATAGTAAACTTCGTTAGTTTCTTACATTTCTTGACTATTTGCCTAGGCATTTGACTAAATGCCTGATTTGACTAATTGCCTGCGACATATACATATTCTATCAAAATTGTATGTACAGAGTCTTCAGAAATATTACTCTGTTCAACAAGCTCGAAACGACCATTTTCGAGCACTTTTGCCCGCACTTCTTCCACGTGACAAATGTCAGGTGCCGTTGAGGGTCGATTCCCATGCTCCTCATCTTTGACGAACTCCTGACCAGTTTTGAATCGTTTAACCCATTCAAAACAGCGGGAACAT